ACTTTGGATACACAAAGAGGGAATCTTGTGGTCATCATTGTACCAGTAGCTATTGCAACACTGCTGTTGATAGCAATTTTTGCATATGTACTGTTCAGGTAATTCATATTGACTTAGAGGTTATCAAATGTATTACCTATAAACACTTCTACATGTAAATTGCACATTCGGAAGAGAATATGACGAAAAACATTTTTTTAAATTAACAAGAAAATTGAAAATCTTTTTGTGGCCTGAATAAATTGTCTATTAAACATCAAAGGTGAGGTAATATGAAACTAAAATGAGTATCTTGCCTGTTACTCAGTAGAACATAGCGCACAGTAGATCATCAAGATTTCCTGAGTGTATCTCAAAATTAAACATCTTTTAAAATTGATGTTTGATGAAATGGCTCCGAAAACCATAGCTTGTAAATATCCTAATGACCATGCAAGTGCAATAAAATTTATGCTTCAACATTAATTTTCTACTGCAAGTGTGGAGTGGTTGATTTAGGTTGATATTTTACAACATAGGTACAATAAAAGAAAACAATCAAAAACCAGTAAAGATGAAGAAAACATCGAAGTACATGTAGAACCAGCAAACAGTACACATGTGGAACAACCCGCCACCTATGAAAATTATGATCCCACAACAGCTGAAGGAGAATATGAAGTGGCACCAACTGCTGCTCTGTCTTACGAAAATTTAAGAACTGACGATAGTCTGTATGAAAATTTGCCAAATGGTGAAGTATATGAAAATATTTGAGACAATAACCAGGTGTGGAAAAATCATGTTGTGCTTCCACCACTAAGACAAATTTATCAAGAATCGTGATCAATCCATAAAAACTCAGACAGATGAATTGAATAAACAGGAAATATTGAGACTCAATAACGAGCAAAAACAATCAAAAGAGAACATAAAATATACAATACATATAACATTGGATGTCTATGCAATGTACTAAAATGTACTGAATGGAGAAAATATAAAGTATTGAAGACTGAAGGATTTCTCAAACAAAAGCAAAAACTGATACATATCAGTATCTAGACATTTTTTTATTTCAAAATTCCTATAAAAAATCTATACCTTCATTATAAGCTACCGTAATCGTTTATCCAAGTATAGTACAAGCAAGCTACCCAAATAACAAGATGATTTTGTTCCAATCAAGTTCTATTTATGTCTAACCTCACTAGAATTCTGTAAAATTCGAAATGCTACCTCTCTTATTGTAACGAATGAATTCAAACAGAAGATACATCAATAAGAATGTGAATTAACAAAATAATTGAAGAAATGGGACAAGGCATGAGGCTTGATTATATTTTGGTATTATGATAACAAAAAGTTTTATAAAATTACAAGAAATACAAGTCAAGTTTCTGAGTTCGTACAATGTTAAATTATTTAACCCATTTAAAAATATCGTAGTTTTGTTGTGTGAATGATAATAAACAACAAATACAAAAAATATTGATATAGTGCTGTTATGTGGGATAAATTTAATTCATTATATAATATTTTGAGGTAACAATAGAAAGCTAAATGATAACTTCCTCTGTAATGATTAATAACCGCTTGATTGAATGGACGGGAACAACTGATTAAATTAAACAGACCAGAAACTTTCCAGATGGAAATGAAGTATGATTAATATCACTCCCCTAATATTGATTAGGAGCTCAAGTGGAATCTTTGTTTTGGGATGAAAGATTCAACGATTCGATGAATAAAATAATGATTACCAGTTGCAAAAAAACAAAAAAAACGCTTGCAATGGATAGATATTCATGAGATATTAATGTGATAAGAAACTATAATTTTAATCTCTTTAGTAATAGTTGTATATGATATATATATTCAGTGTTATATATTTGGACAATAATATCAAATAGAAACAACATTATTTATTTCAATTTTGATCTTGCGGAAATTTTATTGGTGGATAAATCATTCCCAATTCAAAGATTGATAGATAGGGGATAGTATTAACGATATTTGTGATGATAACCCAAAACTAGTCAACTTCCAGCAACTTTGAAAAAAAAAAATGTTTCTGCTTATGCTTATCACATCAGATCCATATGGTTAGATCATCATTATAAATTGACTATGAATCTCGGGTATTCTAGTATATAATGAATAAGAAGATACCATATTAATACCCTATTAACTACAGTACTAGGAAATGCAAATATGCTTTCAAATTAGGTACCATCACAACACCCGGAAGATATAAAAATATGGAAAAATAATTGAATCTATTCAGTCATCAAGCTGCTGAATATCTCATATGCAACCTGTTTATGATCAATGAGATCAGCTGAAAATTTTTATATATTTATCTGGAATATTCAAAGTTCCGCTGATACTGGAAAGAAAATTGAACATTATATTAGCATTGAATTATGACAAGAAAAAGAATGAATGTCCGATTGGTAGTCTTACTTTTGTCAATGTCAATTTTTAATACAAGAGCGCAAAACCCAACCAATCGTGGTGTCAAACGAATTGAACTTCTCAGCATGTGCTTGCCTATATACAGGTATAGAATGTTGTTTCAATCCAATATTCAGTAAGTAGTCGCACCATGATACACTTCAATTTATCATTAACAACTCAATGTGACATTAAGTATAAATATGGGATTTTTATTAAAAAACAGATTTCTTATCCATTCATAGAAAAAAGGATCCCAAATTATATAAAAATAAATGGGATTCTGAATTGTTCAAATGCGTGGCTACTGGCTATTATTTGAAAAGAAGATTAGTTAGATTCAAAATACAGTAGATAACATGCAAGCGACACAAGAAGAATATTCAGGCCCAAAAGGTCTGAAAAAATCATTTTTCTGTATTATCAGATTCTTCATAAAGTAATTTTATTCAACATCTGAAAAATATTTCCAGTCCTTCTTGTGGATATTACGTAATGTTTTAGCGAATAAGATGTGGGATAATATTTCAACATTTTGAGTGGTCCACAGTGCACAGTTTGGTAAGGAAGCACTAGTTTAAATAATCAAATTACATTACGGTAATTCACAATTATGACTCTACCAAGTTAGAAGAAAAATCTTATTACTCAACTATAATTTGAATAATTGTAATTGCATTTTTTTACCATAATCATGATATTTCATATGCGTAAAGTAATATTGATATTCATATTGGAAAAATAAATATTTTTGCCGACAAGAACAAAAACATTCCAAGTGATGAATACAACCAGAAGGGTCATTGGGAGTTACCTGGAAGCGTCCAAATAAAGCAATATTGCAGTTGTTTTATTGTTAAAAAATGCATCGTAGCCCTACAACAGAAAATGCAGGCAGTCAGGAATATTCTGCAACAATCAGATTTCCAGGTAATAATACAAACTTTTTCAGTGGAAGATGTAGAGATGAAAACATATCGACTTGGTTTTATTCACATGAGCCAAAATGCAAATTCGAAGAATATTATTGTTTGATGTATGCAACAAGTTTAACGATTTGCAATCAAAGCATTATAGGGAGAAAGATGCAACAAGAAAGCAACACAGTTCAGTTTCAGTTTCAATGAACTATAGTATAAAACCCTAATCAAGGTTCAAACTTATGTAGCAACCTCAAAGATGACAAAGACCCTCAGTTAAACAAAATGATTTACAAGCCTGTTCTTTGGAAAATGGAAATTCAATAAAATTTCCTGAGTAAAAGATTGTCAACTATCCAGTGAGCAACAATTCCAAGCAGTATTTTTTAAAAGATCGCTTCTGGACCGGCAGATGGAATATCAATGGAGTGTTATTCCCTTTTTTGGGCTATTATTCATTATTTATATTATGTTATTCAGGGTGGTCCAAGGTTGCGAGGTCTAAGGACAGCAAAAACTTTTGAGAAGTCTCGCAGGCCGCAGTCTGAAAAATCCCAAAAGTAATCAAAACATCGCGAGTTTACTCACTTTAAATATATTTAAGAATGAGAGTTCAGCATTCTTATCAGTTTTTCAAGATAACTATATGAAGCCTTTAGTTATTTTAAAACTGCTTCCCGAGAAATATTGTGGTATTTTTGGTCTCTTTTCTCGTGTTTGGTTTTGTAATGTCGCCTAAAATTATCGTATATTCATTCATGACGTTTATTACTAAAAAGCACACCAGCCACTGTGGTTTGCCGTTGGTGTGGGTGAGGAAATACATTTCCTCTCAGTTTGTCTGGACACACTTTTTCTACACTCATTGTATGATGAATTGTTATATTTGAAAAATTTCATTACTTGTAGTGTGGCATGCATAGTGCTACCGTCAAAAAACAACCAAGTCCGTCTAAGTTGGAACCTCGAATTCATATAAAAAAATGGATCGCGTGGCGCAAAGTGACAGACATCAATCCGGACATCGGGATTAGGAAAAGAACTATTCCCAGTTGGAATAAATCTAAATTGTTCTGCTAATAAATACAATATCTGCCAATGGTTTGGTACTGTAAATTGTTCTGCAAGCCGCTTGCGGCCCGCGGCCCACAGTTTGACCATCCTGTGTTATATTGTTTATATATGCACCCCAAATACTTGTGAACCACAAACTTCAAGTTATTATATTATGAGATGTCTTACATGTAAGATGCAAACAAGGATTGACATTAACCGAAACTTGAAACCAGTGAGCTGCTCATTCCAGTTCACTACCCTACCCATTTCACATGTGACCTCCAAATGAGATTCTGATAGGGTTAGATATATTTAGTTACTATGTTTCAGAGGAAATGATGGCTTTTCAGTTAGACACATCCTTTTCAATTTACATCCCAATCAAAGCAATAGCCAAGCAGCCACTACTAAGTTTAGAAGCTCCTTCTCAATCTCTCAAGTTTCAAGATCAAAACAGTTTGCGTTAAATGAGCTATATACCTGTGCCCACAGATTTTTTATGAAAATATAATATGTAAAAATCGAAAATAAATAAAATTTTATACTTTATCAATAACCTATATTAACTATAAAAAGATACCAACTCACGGGTTTACTCTCAGGAAGCTTGCAACATCAAGATAATTCGGCAGTGTAGCAGAGAGTCCGACAATTCTGATCATGCTCTGTTGAGTTTCAACCTGTTTCAAAGTTAGAATAACAAAAAAATAATGAAAAAAGAGTGAGAGCCAACGCAGGCTATAGAAAATTGTGACTTGTGAGAAATTCTCAGTATGCATTGCTTCTTCCCTTTGTTCAAATAATTTAGCCTGCTTATCATAAATATCTTTCAAATAAGAGCTATAAATTTTAATGAGTGTTGAAACAGTGGTTCCCAACTGCTGGTCTGCACAATCTCTTCACCAATACCCGAAAGTTTTGTTGTTTTGTTATTTTTTGCCAGCGTAACCGCTTGATTACTGAAAAGTTTATTTAGCCATTTCTCATCCATTATTAATTTGGGTGTTTGACAAGCATTGTATTGGTTGCCCGGCGGTGTATCGGCTGGCGATTATTCACACTTTTCAGTTCCACATCTATCGCGAAAGCCTTTTTGTTGATCCTTGTAAGTTATAAATTCCAAAGATCTACAAATACATGCTTTAGTCCACATGAGTCTGAAAGAGCAATTTCTGCGACATTCTGCTCATAATTTGATGTTACCAGTCCGCTGGGGAAAAAAATTTGAGGACCTCTGTTCCAAAACATGACAATTAATCAGTAACAATGATGTCAAACACTAGATTAGTTCTAATTTGGCACAGACAAACATTCCAAAAGCAAATCCTATATGATTTTCATGGTATTTTTAGAGTTATCCAATATCACAATAATACACCAGATGAAACCAATCTTCCAAGGATATCTACCTGTCGTAATGTCCTGGCAACCAATGTTTCAAGCACAGGTCCACGTTCATCATGCAGTAGATGAACTTCATCAATGATGAGAAGACGAACAAGTTGAGCAAGTGCTGTGTCACCAACTGCTTTACGAGTCACCACATCCCACTTCTCGGGTGTTGTTATGAGCATCTGATTTGATTTTCATTAAAAAACGGTATAGTAACTGGACCATGATGCAATATATTATAAATACTGAGAAATATTGAATAAATGCATCAAAAAAAAATTCAATCACAAAGATTTGAAATAGTGACAGAAATTGTCACCACAAAAAAAAACTGAAAAATACAGGTTCTTGAAACGAGAAATAATGTAGAAAGAGGGGATAATACTGTATTTCCCGGCTATTAAGTCACTTTTCTAACCTCTTTTTTTAATGCTGAAAATAGGCTTCGTCTCATTTGCCAGGTAGACTTATTAGCTAGGAAATACGGTAAGTTGCTAGGTTGTCTTCGTTTTCAGGAAACTTGCCAACAAAAATCATGAACAAACAGTCAGATTGAAAAAGCATTACACAATCAAAAAATGATGCTTGAGACACATAAACTTTGCTAGTTGTTTAGTCTGGTAATTCATCATAATTCAAATTTAAAATATTCGCAGTTGGTTTATGATTGTAGGTAGTAAGTAAGTGGAAATAAAAATATTTATTTCAGAACATGTTGCATTGATCTGAACATTTATTGTGTATGAAAGTGTATGAAACTTATGACATATGAAATTTAGCTAAGGATGTACCAATTAATAATCATGGAAAAAGAATGATGGATATTGAAAAAGGAAAAGTACACAAAATAAAGGTTACCTGAGTATCAATAATTTCACTTTTTGTCAGCTGCATATCACCAGTCAACTCTCGAACTTTGACACCAAGTGATTCCAACCGACCTCCGAAGTTTCTTGTCATTTCAGCAGCGAGAGCTTTCATTGGAGCAACGTACACAATCTAGAATATATATTCAATATTTTATTAAATATTTTGCATAAATTAATTAATAAATGGTTGCAGTATTTGTGGAACAACGAAAATAATTTATGAGTAATTAATTAAATAATTAATTGATAATAGTTTCAGTTCATTCCTAATTCAGTAGCTTCATGTCCAAATAACTGTTTATCCAGAACTTCTAATAACTTTTAGCTTTTATCCAGGACATGGTTTACGAAAACCATGTGTGTGTAGACAGTGATGGAATTCAAACAGGTATTCTTCTGCATTAAATTCACTAACAACAGGTTCCTCATTAACCATGCTGTTCATGACAATACAAGAAAGTAACATAAGACATAACAAACCCTAATTTTGTACCTATAACTGTACGTAGGTACAAAATTATTCATAAACTCATATTTTAACTTTGTGATGAAGAATATGTAAAGTAGCTATTTATTCTATTCAAGTCCATGCACCTGAAAACAAATAACTAGCTAACTAATTCCATACCCGACATGGACTGGTAACCAGACGAGAGTTCGTGGTTCACCATATGATTAAGACATCTTATCGGCATTCCTCGGGATGAATATGTACATCATATCTTACTAGGACTTACCTTGAACTTGTCTTTCTGAATCACCCCTTCGACAATGTTTCTTTTAATTTCTCGAATCACAGTGAGCATCGCTACATTTGTTTTCCCAGCGCCAGTAGGAGCACAAATAAGTAGGTTTTCATTTGTTTTAAATGCAGATTCGTAAACACATGACTGTACTCTGTTCAATTGCTTCATACCACTGAATGCTAGCTGAGACACCTAAATTAATTAATAATCAAAAATTAATAATCAAAATTATACTTTTCTGTTCAAATTTTTTTTACAAAAAAATCACAAATAATGACTACATCATGATTGCATGAAATTAAATTAGGTACTTCATATCAATTTGGAATATCCAATACCATACATGCCATACTAATTGATGAAATCATTATGTTGGGAAATACAGAAAACCGTCCCAGAAATTCGAAGTTGCAGGTTAGAAAATCGGATAGTTTTAATTACATTGGTTGTGCTTCATATATCCTTAACAAATTTCTACCTTAACCAACCAAGTCATTACCTCATCAAGATCCTTAATTTTAACCAGAGGTTGATCAAATCTTAAATTAGATGATTTAACTGGAATTCGAATTTCCTCATAAACTTTTGTTGATTTTGTTTCAAATCCTTCAGGTAGAGTCATCTGCAAACAAAAAAAATTGATTCTGTAAATGTTTATTTTCAGGGCATCATTGTTTCACACAATCAAGCTTGATTCCAGAGTATAAATCACACTATTTCTGCTGTCAGGACATGTCAAAAATGTTCACCAGGAAAAAGCCCCTTCGAAAGAAGTCTCACAGAGACCGTTACACCCAGTAAAGTACACAGCATGGGTAATCATTTCCAAACATGGCATAATTGGTATAGAAAATTGTAGAGAAATGGATCAAAATAACCCAGGGTACCAGCATGACGAGGCAAGAAAACTATGGGTATGAAATAAGATGCTTGAAGATTTGCATGAAAAAATGCAACTTTTCACGAAATGACTGTAAATATATACAAACAATCAAGTTAAGTAACAAAAGATCAAACTGAAATCTGAACTGAAATGCTTTTGATTAGATTGATAACTTGACTAGATGAGAATGAAATACAACTTGCTTTATTCGTTGAAAGTCTTGCATGGAACCTGTAGATTTTACAAAAATTATATCAGGTTTGTGACAAAGGCACTGAGATATAAGTCAAAATACTTTGCAAAACACAACCTCATAAAGACTGTCGAAGAACAGTAGGTTAATCTTTTCAGAAACTTTTTCAAAGCCAACATTCCCTGATCTGTACAGGGCCGTGTTCTGAGTCAAAGTGTGAACATATGATTGGAGAAAGAGTTGAAATAGATATTTAGTGGTAGAGAAGAATAGTGTTGAATTGTCACTGGGGATTCAAGGCGCCCAAAATGTTCAAAAAATACAGGGTGACCAAAGCAAAAGAGAACACTTGAACTTTGTTGTTTATGATTGATTGATTGATTGATTGATTGTACCCAAAGTTTCAGCAATCTAGGAATGTTTGCACAAAAATTCTGATGTCTCTAGAGCAGTGGTTCTCAAATTTTTTGAGGAGACTAATTAAAAATAAAAATATTTGTTAGAATTGATCTTGCATGCCTTATTTTGGATATTTACATTTCAAACTTTTCATTTATTATTCATTCATTTATATTTTTTACGTTCCATCCACATATTGTCAAAGTGTTTTTTAAATAAAACATATTTTCGCTTTTCTATCTGTTATTTGTAGCCTATTGTTAGCTAGTTCTTTTTGAGGTAGCGCGCGAGACTTGACAAATTCTAAAAAGTTAGAGAACCGCTGCTCCAGAGTTTGTTCCAAATGACTTGGGTTCTGTTTTTTATGGTATAACCCTGTATGAGCATTATATAACAGATCTGTATGAGGGAACATCTGTAAACTTGGATATATCCACACCTTTTTTCCGCCAGCTAACGCTGCGCTATGTTTTGCACTGAGTTGTGAATCATAAACATGAGGATATCTTTCTATATTTCCAATGCTTTTGCCTCTCTGAGAAAACAATGGAGCAGATGCAGCTTGTAGTAAAGCCATAGCCCTGGTAAAAAGTAGAAAATTGTTTCATGATTGCCAGTAATAGAAATTTATCTTAATTGTTACAAACATACCTTTGTTCCCTCAGTAAATCAGGATTCATTATTTCTGAATCTCCTCCATCATCATTTCCATTTTTCATTCCTTTCTTAGCAAATCTTTTCTCTTCCCGCCTGAATGCTTTTGATACTTGTTTTTCTTGATCAGTCTAAAAATATTATAGAAATTAAAACTGGAAATTTTCAAAATCTTCCAGGTAAATCCATGGAATATTACATTGAAAAAAATTCCATGTAATGAGAAAAAGATTACCTGAACTGTGACCTGACATCCATATGTAGGCCGTGAATCAATAGATTTGAAACGAGATCCTAGAAGAAAAAAACAAATATTTAAGGTAATAACAAACGCAACGATTCAAAAGTACCCTTAACGTCTTTTCTTGGCATTGGAACTTTAAAGTTTACCTCCATATTCTTCAATTTTGATAACGAATAACAAATTACGAATTATTCCTTTTGTTAACAAAATATCTAATCATGTGACTGAGCCTCATGTTATGCCCCATCACGCATAGCCGTAAATGAGGGTCAAAATTACCAGATTCTAATATTTCTCTTCTCTTTTGATCCTTGAGTAAATCCTGTCTATGCTCCAATAATTCTTGAATCAAATCAAATCTGTCAAATCCAAGTAAATCGAACAGCTGAAAAGAATAGCAATTGTTAGAAAATCAGACGAAGATACTCGGCTATTTATCATTGTCATCAAACTTTTCAATGTACGAGTATTTACTATTTGAACTAAGCAAGATGAACTTTTAAAAGGATAGATCAATTTGGTGTTGTCTCTATGCTTCAGTTATAAACAAAAGGTTTTTTTCGTACATATAAATTAAATTCAGTAAATCATTAATATAACAATTCTTCCATAAAGGTGAGCACAGTTCAGTTTGCAAAAAATATTAATTTTGGCGATGGGGAAAACGTTAAGAAACAAATGCCCAAAAATAAAAAATAAAATCCTATATCACTGTGAGATGGAAGTACCCGAAACTGACCTCATTTTGTAGATGATCATTGGATGATGAAGATTGAAGTAAAGACATTATATTGGGTAGAAAGTGATCAGAGTGAAAATATCTGGAAAGTTATCACATAGATATTATTAAAGAAAAGGCCAACGAAAATATAAATAATTGTCTTTTTTTGCAAACAGTTGCAGTTCCTTTTTAAAATAATAAATCAGATTTTAGAAGACCAAAAGCTTTTATCAGATGGTTTGCAGCAGTACTTACAGCAAATTTTAAATGCTTAAAAACGTTTGCTTGATGTTAACCTAATGGGAAATATTTCGATCCAAGTCCAGAGTCAATCAGAAGTATGATTTCAGCTCTGACTTCTGACACCAAGTTACCGTAGATAACATTTAGCCTAAAATTCAAAAATAACAAACTTTTGACCTAGGCGACATCAGCATTGGCAAGTCTTGTAATATTGGTCTCTTGAGTAGCAATACCTAATAATACTATTCACTCACTTCCGTAAATTTTTCTCTAGCCATGGAACATCAAATGAAGAAGATATTTTATTTGAACTTGATGACTTTTCAGTAGCCTTAACTTGTGATATAGTTAGTTGTCTAAATGAATCAGTTAGTTTATCATTATTGTCGTTTTGAGCTTCATCATCAGAATCCATCTCTGTACTTTGCAACAATGATGGTAAATCATTTGAAAACTAAAACAAGGAAGCAATTATTACCAATTATCTAAACAAATGAGTTGAAGTAGAAAAGCAAAATTATGAGTGCGGTATTGAGCATGTATTGAATAAAATGAAAAAAATGATTAGCATTTTGTTTTCAAATATATATGAATTCAGTCATAAAATGATGTCATTGTCTTATTCACCATAGACAATCTACTTAGTAAATAACCTAGTATTATTGCTCTTTTACTTCAGAAAATGTTTGTGTTTAGTAAACGATTGTTCATAGAAAATATTAAGCTGAACAGAGTTTGCTCCGAATGCAACAAAAGCCATCTAATTTCAATATAACATCCTAATAAAAAGATTCTAGACTCCTATAGAATGACTATTATAGATCAATAGCTATTCAAACAGCTTTTGGTCAAGTTGGTCATCCTCCTTTTATATGATAATGCTAGATATATTTACATCACCATTCAACCAATCAAATAGAGATACTAATTGTAATTTTGAGCAATAATGGGAATCAGGAAATGTAAGAGCCTTCCTTCCTATGATATCACAATATCAACCACATAAACAGATCAAAATTATTTAATGGTGAAAAAAACTAAATTCAAAATTGATTATGAAAAATTCGTTAGGCACCTTAATTTTAGTTCCGAATGTTGTTGCGGTTCGAATTTCATCCACTTGTGATTTGATTTTGTTGAAAACACTTGGTCCAACAAAACTTTTAATTTTTTTTACAGTTTCATGAAAATCTCTTATATCATTATTGGTTGCTGTAGGTAAAGTTTTCCTGCAACGCACAATAAAGAAGCTTGTTTTAATAAAGCAAATAACTTCAATAAGAAGATTGCTAACTCAATTGCAGCTTTGTTACATTAACTACATCTATTATCTCAAATTTACAAACTTTTTGAAAGTCTTCTGCACTGATTAAATATATTTTTTTTATCATTTTTATTTTTGAGAATATTTCTCAAAGGTGGTCACAAGAACTCACTCAGAAATTAACCCCTGAGGAGGATCACTAAAATATCAAAAGGCACTGACACTATAAAGAATACAGTGTGGTCATGTGAGTGATAATGATTGGTAACGGCTATTTTGAGATACCGTGGACCGTGGTATAAGAATGTAAAAATAAGGTGAATCAGTATCAAAGTTTGATAATAATGTGAGAGAAATTTGTGAAACTAAGGTTGTTTCATTTCACTATTAATATCTTGCCTATATAAAACATTGTTAAATATTTTGTCAGTTACCTTCTTGATTTTCTGAAGGGTACGGTACTCATAATAATAATTTGGGGTTTTGTCCACCGTTCTGAATAATCTTTATTAGTACTACGTTGCAGCAAATAAACAGGCTCTAATCATATAGGTTCAAGAAGGCTTTATTGATGTATCATTATTCTTTATCCCTGATTAATAAAGCAGGTTTCAGTCTACAGGGTGGGCCAAAAAAATTACCATTTTTCACATTCTGACAATTAAAAACTGGTAACACTGTGCGTGTTATTTTTTTTAGTACTGGTTGTTTACTGTGTATTCGGAATAAAAATTATAAAAGCATCTACGATTACTAAAGATTGTGATTTAGTGCAATAGCTATTTAATTAAACTGTGCTGTGCCCTCAGGTGATGAGTAATAAGCTGATACCAAACAATATTCAAACTTGAGATCTGTAGTCTCCAATACAAATTGATACTAATTTGCAACAACAGGCAATCATACATGAAATAATAATGACAACAAGCCTAATAGTATTTCTGGCATATTCAAAATTTAAATTCAATTTTTTCAATCAACCAATTTACCTGATTTTATTGATATGCTTCGATTCAACTTGTTCCAGCGTCATGGTTGTAAGAAATATTTCAGCAGCAAAAGTTTCTTTCATCTCTATACTTTCATCTTCACCAACTAAAATTACAATAAATAATACATACAATAAAAGTAGGCTAATAGATAATTTGATAATTTTTTTTAATTACAGACAATAAAAATGTAATTTAAAAGCGGTTGCATGAAAAAATATTATTTTATTTAGTGAGAAAAAAAAAGACCATTTCATTAAGAACTAGAGCTGCGTGCAGCTTTAACAGGCTTCCCGCGTAAAAAAAATCTGCATTTTATTGCTAGCTGAGAACTTCTGCACATTTGAGGTGAATTTCAAGTTTGTAGGACCAATTTGAAAAAATAATAATAACAAATAAATAATAATAATAATAATAAAACACAGGAATACAATAGGTTCCCTGCTGACAAGCAGCGGGAAGCCTAATAAGTATATGTTATCTAACAAGTGCATACATATCCATATTGATTCCCAACAGATATTTGAATTATTAAGAAAACCAGTAATCAGAATTTAGAAAATAATGTAATCTTATACTCCACTGAGTAATTTAATCTATGAAATAAATCATTAATTCCTATTCATGTGGTATTTGCAGTATTTGTGTCTAAATATCGCATACTTTTCTATCATTATAAAATTTACAAATTAGTATTAATTAACTAGAATTCAATGTCAATATTTGAATATACATATACAGAATAGTTAATAAAATTTTCATACCCATTTCCCCAGCTTGACTTATTAATTCGAGTACATATGACCGTAATTGTTTCGAAGAATGCCTTTGTTTGCATCCCGTCCATAATATTGTAACCAACTCTTGCCATGTCAAATCAGAAGGAGAAGAATGTCTTCTTGCCTGAAATAGCAATAACAGATTGAAGTACCTGTAATTTACTTTTAAAAAATGCAAAATTCTATCTTCAGATTTTATGCCACAAGCGCATATTTTTCAGATATACGATTACACTGTTTTATCGGCTTTCCTTTCCACGAAATAATTATGAAATCCCTTTCTTCCCTGAACTGATTAAACAAAAAAATTTTAAAAATTTCTGACCTTTGTTTGGTCAAATACTTCTGAAATATCCTGCGAAACATTTCCAAACTCTCTTAGAGCAGTAGTTAATCGGGGATCTTCTCTCCACGCTGTCGCCATTATCTATTTTGGTATCATAAATTCCACTCACTGACAGGAGCGTATACAGATGCAATCTACTCCCAATCAATCGGCTGATACAGTGATCGAAGACGGCAGTTACCGATTTTTCCTGTTTCGGTGTTTGTTGACATTCTGCAACACGGACACCAATGGAATATTAGTACAACCTTTGACCTCGAATTGAATCGAATATGTTGCGTACATATGCTGCAATAACATAATAATATAGGAAAGTTTTCATAACTTTTTATTGTTATAAATCACTGTTCTCAATTTTTTTAAATATCATACGATACATATTACACGATTTAAAGAAAGAATGAATGTTATCAATTTTCTGTCGATTACGTCACAGGAATTAAGTCAGGTATGACAAATAAATCCAGCGGTCCATCTCTTTACCTTCTCGTCGTGTGGGTATGTAGCCGTTTTCACATTGCTTGTATCATGTGTAATCCTTTTTATTCTCGTGATCGTATATGTGATTGTTTGGAAATTCAAATAGTTATAATGTAGCAGATTTAATATTCAGTGTATCAACGTATGGAATTATTTGTCTGAGGCTTGACAGGTGAGGTGAAAATGGACAAGCTGATTTCTTGTTCGAATGGTGTATGAATGAGGCATCGATCGCATCATTATCAGCTTGCTTTTTTTATAAAAACTTTCATTCTTTGAATTTCAGTGAGTCACCATGGCGCCTCGTAAGCAGCGCGAAACGAAAACAGAGGAGGTTGTTAACCTTGGACCACAAGTTGCAGAAGGAGAAAATGTCTTCGGTGTGGCTCACATCTATGCTTCATTCAATGACACTTTCGTGCATGTCACGGACTTGTCTGGAAAGTATGTTGGTTATTTTCAATCCTCAATGAATCTAGACTATTATCACATTGTTAAGTGCATTAATAATGCAACTTGCATTTTCAGAGAAACAATTGTACGAATCACTGGAGGAATGAAAGTAAAAGCTGATCGCGATGAAGCTTCTCCGTATGCTGCTATGTTGGCGGCACAAGATGTGGCTGCAAGGTAAATTTTGAATTGATGCTTAGTTCAGTAGTCTAATAAAGAGTCCTGAATTAGGCTGTGCATGGTTTGAATTTTGCCCACAATGCATTTTCATCTTAGTAAATTCAGCTTCACCGTTTACTGTCATTAACCTAATTACTGAATTGGGATGAAAGAGGAATACCATTAACATCATTACTGAATCCGACACCAGACATATTCTATACAAAATTTGCTCCAAAACAACATAGTTAGTGAGTGGTTAATGTCTTTGCAGTCTGTTTCTTTTTAAATTAATTATCATTTCTATATTTCCAGTAATGTCAATATCATTATAGCGATCCATGTACTAATTTCAGTAGTACCGTAAAACCGGCTAACTTCGGATGGTTTCACTATAATTCAATCAATATCTATGCCGTTTGTTGTCCAGTTCGCGTCAAATTTGGAATATATTACATTTGTGCAATTCTCTGCACATGCATTTAATTTTTTCGCGGCCGGATCATTTTTTCTGTCTTAATTGTCTCATTTTACACTACACCACTAAATATTTAACTTCGGATGGGGGAATCACCTCCGTGCGTGACCGCAACTCGAGCGAAAATTGCGTGCGTGAAGACAAAACACGCTTTACGTCGTTGCGAAAATGCCAGATGTTCAATCCACGTCGCGAGTGGCGGTGATAATGATGACCGTAGGATTTTTGGTGCGGCACTTTCAAGTTGTTTTTATATTAAAATGTCTCGTTTCATTTTCTCTTATCGTATTTTAGATCCGAATATTCACCGATCATAGCCGATTTTGCTATAGCCGGTAATGTTTGAATAGCGTTTGTATATTCCACATCGTATATAGTCGCACGATAAATATTATTGAGCATGCATATGACTGGATTCTTTACTAAATTGACCTATTAAAATGTCCGCTGTGCATAAATCACGACAAAACACCGATTTGGCAAAAATTGTTTTAGTTAAATTCATTAAACGGAACTCACTTGCAAGTGTTGCAACAATGATTCTTGTTATTTATCGCTGATTATATATTTTTATATTTACGCAACATTTCTTGACTGCTTACAATTTTTCTATTTTAAACCATGCTGCCGTTCCAAATGGTGGAATTTGATTCGACAAATCGAACGAAAAAATATTTTTCGTTAATTGCCGTTTTATTAAATTACATTTCCAACATTTGACGGCATGAATTTAAGATCCACAGGAAACTGTTGATGTGTATATTTTAGCCGATATTGATCCAACCGAACAAAATATCACTGTTATTTTCAAATATATGCCAACTCGTCGGCGCCCGAATGTCTGGCATCAAATCTGTAACGGCGACGCAACATGACGTTGTCTTCGAAGCAAGCGACGTCAGGGTGACGTCGGTTCAATGTGTGCGTCAGATGCTATTATTTTGATGTAAAAAGACAATTTGAATTTTAATTGTTTCTCGAGTCTCCTGCGACATCTCGCGATCAGTCTAATTTTGTAATACATTGGTAACGCCCTCTATCGAATGACGGTGTTTTGACGAAGTTAGCGCAGTTAGAAGTCACGATTTAAGCCGCTCGAAAACATAGTGTCAATTTTTTGCTAAAACGTGATTTTTCAATCAAATAATAAATAAAACTGCGCGATTGATCATGATAACAGATTCAGATATATAAGGACTCTCTAGAGAAACTGCCAGAAGCACAATATGACGCAATTTAGTCAAGATTTGAACAATTGAAAATTGCATCCGAAGTTAGCCGGTTTTATGGTATCCCTGCAGCAGGAAGATATTCAGGGCCCTGAAATGTGACGTGGCGCATTGGTCTTTTGAAATGGTATGCTAGGATAGTTGTATAATCCTAACCCTAGGATGTGGCAAATTTCTTTAAAGTTGGTGTAAGTTTTAGGCTGTGGTGTTAGAGTTGCGGGTTAGCATTGCTAGTTTGTATTTTATAAACTGAAGTTAATTGCAATCGAGTTTAGCCAGCTCTACATCTATCAGCTTCTATTACTTCTATGTTGCTGTCTAAGAAATTCTCACATTCCGTGGTACCATGCTGCACTCTTCCCTTTTGCACTGTTCTGTGTGACAAAAGTGTGTTCTCAGCAGCAATATTAATATGCTAGTATTCAGTTGGGCAAATCATGCCTGTATCTGAGTATTATCATACAATTTACATCAACATTATTAGTGCTTTGCAGCCCAATATTGTTTGAATTTCATGTCACATTTCCTATGCAAAGCACTAGATCAAATGTTGGATTAGGTTTCCATGTAAGAGGTTGAGAAACTATGTATATGGAAATTTACTTTTTATGGACATTACTGATTCTCTTAATTTTTCCAGATGTAAAGAACTTGGAATAACTGCCCTTCACATAAAATTACGAGCTACCGGAGGAACAAAGACTAAGACTCCAGGACCTGGTGCTCAAAGTGCATTGAGGGCTTTGGCTCGTGCCGGAATGAAAATTGGCAGAATAGGTAATTTTTGTGCTTTTTCTTTCACAGATAGATGGATGTAAAAGTTGGTATTCTGATACTTTACTGTGATGTATTGTATGACTTATTTAGCATTCAATTGTTGTGATTCAGATTCATTGCCTTGCTTCGTTTACTCGAATTGTATTTTTTCCTTTGTCTCTTATCGAAGCCATGTTTAACTTATAATGTTCTTCTTGGTCAAAATGAGACAAATAAAAATTCTTGCCTGACGGTCGCTGGCTTGTTGAAATCTGTTCATGATCAGCATTACTAAAGGGAGAGACAATTTTATACAAAAATAAATATCATTTGTGCATATCACACTATTATAGTATTGGCGCTGTGGCGCATCGTGCTGAATGTTTGGAATACGCTCACCACCGCACTCCTGATTACCCTGCCTGGCTCGCAGGTTCGAATCCTATGTACGAATGTGCCGGAGGATTGCTTGACTCCTTGCCACTAGCTACCGGTAACTGATCCCATCCCCGAGATGGACTGGTAACCAGACAAGAGATCGTGGTTTGCCATACAATTGGGCGGTATCATCGGTTCTCCTCCCCCAGGGATAAATATGTAAATCCTTTCCTGTTACACCAAATTTTCTTTTTGCAGAGGATGTCACCCCTATTCCATCAGACAGCACAAGGCGAAAGGGTGGACGTAGAGGAAGACGTTTGTAATTTTTGCCTTCTCTGCTTAAATTCAAAGATATAAAAACGAACATGCTTTGTTGTTTGGTTTAGTAAGTTAGTATTTATCACAGGTACTTGTAGTAGTAAGGTGGAGAGAAATAGAAATGGCTATAACCGAATACTGAACTATTCTAGGTGCGTCCTAAAATATGTATTTTCCAATATGGAATTCCGATTACACTTTCTAAAATCAGGCGCATAAATATTATTCGCTCAATAAAATCCAGTGAAAAAGGAATTGCTTAATGATATATATCATCGTAGTGAAGCAGATAAGTAGACGGTTGCACGTGTAACAGGATTGAAATTTTGAAGCCTTCTGGGTGAGGATTAGCAACACCACTGTGTTAATGCTGATGAATTGTAGCTTTCATCAAGGAAGGCATGAGCGCACTGAAATGTTTTGAATAGTTGATTTCCAACTGGTGTTGGGTGAAAGGCATTGAGTGTCAAGTTGTTGTTTTTCAATTTTTTCCGATGGACATGTATATGATGTAACAAAACTTATACTTGGATATAAATGGTGGCGCACTTTTTTGACGAGTGATATTCCGACATAGCAGCTTGATCCTCTATTTTAATAGCGTGTGGCCTATTCACGACTTTCTGGAATTGTTTGTCGGAAGTGCAAATTTTTCCAGCGATGAGTTGGTCTCCCGTCAGTTTAGGTGTTCCTGTTGGAGTGTGCTGCAATTCGGACTTCTTTGTTTATATTCCGTCCTTGTTAGGCATTCCGAATCGAATAGTAAATTATTCGAATCGGTTCAGAGCTTACATATGACTCTTTTATGTAAGTTATTGATAAAAACGTGTTATTTAGTGTGTGTGAGCGCTCAGCAATCTGCCTGAGTGATGCATTCTATGTTTTCTGTAATTCATGTGTCTGGGAGACCTAATACAATAAAAAAGTTACATACAATTTTATATCTCCCAAGTATTCGAGATTCAATTCGAAAAAAATATTCGATTCGATTCTGAAATCATCAGGTATTCGAAAGTGCCCAGCCCTCCTTGTCGTTCTTTGTGTTGTAATCACTGATACTTATCACCACTTGTATGTTAACCCTGTCTGTTTAAAGAACCGAGATGCAGATATTTATTAAAACGATACTCGAGTTTCTCGTGCTTTTCTATAGTGTTCATGTTATTTCAGTATGAGATGGATAAACCTCGCAAATCTGCGATTGCGTGGATCCTGATTGTTGATTTAAAATAGCGATTAAATAAATTGGCAATAAAGGCATTCCTAATTATAAATAATTCCTTCAAGTTTCAACTTTTTTTTCCAACAAAGCAACACCTCGACGGTTTTTATAGCCAAAACACGTACTGAGTAATGCTCAATTTTATTTACGGAATTTGCAAATTTAACACTACACTTGATGCTTTTGATTATGTCATGCCTAAATATTACTGCCCAAATGCTTCAAAATTTAACAATTGTAATCATTTGCGATGATAATAGGCGCAAAAATTATTAAACAAGTCAGTGTACATTGTTACAGCAAAATTCACGATTGATTTTACGTTCTACTCTTGGCTCAACGGCCGTGCATGGTCGAGTAAAATGTATACATTTTCGAAACATTACTTGGCAATGACGGAAGGGGTCACTAAAGAGCTAATACAAAGTGCTTTAAAGGGAGTAGGACATGACATTTATTATCTGTGTTTTTCATACAAGTAACCAGCTTTTGGAAAAACTTTGACTGGTCATTTTTAAATTCATGCTATTCATAAACTCTAATTTTTCGACGTATATGGGAGAAAGACTGTCAACCCTATGTATATGAGTTCGATTCCCGCACGGTCGTGGGTCAAAATATAAGGAGAAAGACTGCGGTTATCCCTACTGCGTGTTTGGCTCGCGCGTTATTGGGTTGACACACGCTTATTTGATCACAACTCCGATCTGAACTCCTCAGAAGTCAATGAGCAAACAAAATAAATTAGATGCCAAATGTTTGTATATTGTAAAGATGCACAATTCAATTGATCCAAAAACAGATAACAAATAACACTTAAAACCTTAATGCAGTATGAGGGATGAAACCGAATTTCTAACTAACAAAGAACGATAAACACTGAGCGAGAGAAAATATATCGTAAAGGGAATGAATTAGTGCAACGGCCTTGTTTCAGGCGAATAACATGCACTATTAGCAATACGTGGTGAAAATATTAAAATACACAGTAAATATCCTAATGTACTCGCTACAGACAACCTAAAATCGCCCTATTCACAATGAAACGCCGAAAAGTCCTTTTAACATTAATTTTGATTTTAATCAATTTCATGTTCGGGTCATGCAAAAAATGGCTACTGACATGGAGTTTAAAATCTGGGAAATTCATTTTATATACCTAATCTGGTTTGACGTTTCTAAATTTACAGTACGGTCGGTATGTTTTTTGCAAATTATGGAATTGAAACGATACGCTAAGTGCAAAGAAAAGCATATAACACCGTAACGCAAAGACAACGACTTTTCAAATTTGTCGCTTTTTTCTGGTAGCTAACGCCGTGGGGTAATCTCGTACAATTCATGATTGAGTTGGAGACGCGCGAGTTCGGTGTCCAAGCAGAACGGCGCAGGTCACGTGGTAAGCACATCACGACAATCATACTATAATAAATTGAAGAACAGTGTACGTACATAAACACGAGAGAACAAAATTCACGGAAGATGCTTACTTGTAAAGTTGTAAATAATTTTGATGAGTGAAAGTCGTTAGGAATAATAAAACAATCAGAAGTTTTGCGACGGTGCCTGAGCCGAAATGTGAATACCAATAATAACATTCAATTGATTTGCTGCTGTTTTTTGTAAACAATCAAAGGTAAACAACAAACATAAAAACTAATTTCGGACGTTGCTTCTTATGTAACAAAATCGGTACGAATTTAGAAAGTTTTTATTTGTAATTTCGAACATTTGCCAAAGATGGTCAGGAAATTACCTAAGTTCTGACTAGGGATGTAAGTTTCAGAATTTCGAATCAACGTCAATTCGAATCGAAGCAATTTAAGAAAAGTGGGCTTAATTCTATTTAAAAAAAATTCAATAGATAACACAAGGCAATTGCACGACACAACGGCGCCGCCTTTATAGCCAAAAGCGTTTATTATCCTTACGTTCACAGCTTTCCAAAGCGGTGACACTCCCAGAGTCGTTATATTTCATATTGGTGGCAGCTTCAAATTATCTACATAATATTATTATAATAAAATATCATCGCTTTATACCTTCTTAAAAACATGTCTGCGATGCTTCCTTCATTATCATTGCTTCTTTCAAAATCATGGCGTATACGGTACTAATTAGCGTTTACCATTTGGATAAATTTTGAAGATCAATGTTAGAAGAAACAATCGCTATACACCAGGTATTATTTGCAAACATAATTGTATGTAAGTAAATATGTAACTGAGTATACCTATATGTAACAAAAAATAAATCTCAGCCGTAATATATTTGGTAGTTGATACATCCATGCAGTGTGTTTTTCTAGTAACTTTCTTAATTCTTTAAGCTCATTATTGTTATTTTATCGAAATTTATACTATATTTCCTCCAAATTTGAAGAAATTCATCGATAATATGATGATATACTAAATAGAATCAGATTCGGAAATATTCAAATCGGAACATTGCGATTCGGAAAAAAAAATATTCGAAACTTACATCCCTAGTTCTGACACGGATTATCGACCCAAAAGATTATCTGCACATCCCAGGTGCACTGAAAAGTTGAAGGATGTAATACTTTCGAGGGGATGTGCCACATCTCACAGTATCTATACCCGAAGCTGTGCGTCTTTTTCATACAAGCGATAGTACATGTGACACACACTATATATGAATAAACCTCTTCCTGCCATCTAGTCGACCCTGTGTTTTGCAATTTGCGCCTAATTAGGATAGGATTTACATATTTTTCCCGGGGGAGAGGAAAGCCGATAAGGCGGCTTAACCATATGGCGAACCACCGCCTCTCGTCTGGTTACCATTCCACTGATATGGGATTAGTTTGTTATTTTGAGGCATGAACCACCCTACGGCGGCGAGGAGTCCAGCAATCCTCTCGCGCATAACGCATCCCGCATGGGATTCGAACCTACGCAGAGTAATTATTAGAGGTGCGGTGTTGAGCGTATTCCTAAGGCTTAGCATGATGAGCCAAACCGCCATACCTTTTGTGTAACAATGGCTGCTACTCGGTACTCCCATCAAACTGAGAATGGTTCGAGAGTAAGTCAGTAGTAAGTTTCGTTTGGTCTTCTTGAATTTGCACAGCATATACAAGTTATAGGGGGGCATGATTAGAGGGGAAATTATCTATAATACCAAAATGAAAGCTTTTCGGTATAGATTTTTGTGTGGGTCTTATTTAAACTCAAATAATATTTAAAAAAAACAGAATTGGAAAGCCGAACTGTTAACCGCATGCGCTGAAACCATTATAAGCCTATTATAGCTGTAGCTCTATTCTAAAAATGTGCAAGACGTCAAGAGAAAAAACTGATATATTATCCTGAAGTAATAAAAGGTATTTCATCTGAGCACTGCAAAGTAAAGAGAATAAAACAAAGTCTAGGATTACATTTCTGCCAAAAATTCATCAAAAGGCTGGAACTACTAAAAAAAATCTTACAATATTATAGGTAAAAATGAAGAAAATGCACAGTAGGAGTAAACTAATGGTGACATGGAAAAATATTAGACAGCAATATTTAAACTGCTCAGTGTTCATATAGCAATGACAGGTTGCAATTATTCCTGTACGCTTTTTATGGTAAACATGATATTGTGAAAAATGTACGCGAGAAATTTAAGACATTTAAGATTTATTTAATATATCAGTCTTAGACTCAATGACTGAAACACATATAGTAAACACATGATATTTACCCTTATATATTCTTATACAAACATTGATAAACCATTTCTAAATATAAAATAAAAAAAATTCTGCTGAACATTATACAAAAATAAATACACTGAGGGAATGCTGGATCATTAATTATCTTCTTG